AAAATAGATATTATTCAGCAGTTCTCTACTCTTTTCTTTGTTTACAACGAAATATTTTCCTGTTTCTTAATACCTTGCTTTTTTTCTGAAAGGCATCTTTCAATATTTCAATGTAAAAAATAGTTATTATGCAGCAGTTCTCTACTCTTTTCTTTGTTTACAATGAAAGATTTTCCTGTTTCTTAATGCATTGCTTAGTTTCTTGAAGGCATCTTTCTCTATTCCAATGTAAATAATTAGATATTACGTAGCAGTTCAGTATACTTTTCCTTGTTTCTAACGGAATTTTCTTAAATTCCGTTTCTTAATACTTTCTTCATTTGTTTTTCTTTTAATGATGCCTTCATTGGTTCCATTTAATCGTCCACCCAAATGGTGAACAGTCTTATGACCGTGTGCATGCTTATATTTAGTGTTCATTCTTCGACTTTCCTTTGGTCCGATTTACTATAAAAGTACAAGAGTAATGGTTAACAAGTGTAAAACGTCGACCAATACGCATATACACTGGAATGACTGTGTGTCAACTCTTGTGTAGTCTTCTGTCAGCGGAAACCTAATTTAATATAACGGTGCTATTGACTGGTGTCATGGTAAACAAGCGTTTATCAGAGACCGAAACACTTATACACAAGATGCATTCACCCTTATGTTTTTTTTTAAACATTACGCCCTGGGCAAGGCGTGAAGCCGCTAGGATGCAGGGGGTTGCAGAAGATTTGGAGCGAGAACAGATAGGAGTGATAGAAGAAAGGATGAGGAGAAGGATAGTGGATAGATCAAGGTAACTGGAGATGTCGATTGACATTACATTTGAATAGTTGGAGATTATAGCTCTCAGGGAAATTGGAATAGGGAAGGGAGTTCCACAGGCGAGAGGTGCGAGGTATGAAGCTACTGGAGTAGAAGAGACAACTACATTTAAAAGTTTCTACAGTGTAAGGGTGGGAGCGGGATGCCAGCCTCGTAGGGCGCTTGAATTCATGGAGTCTGGGGAACCAGTGAAAGCAGCTCATCGGAGCAATTACCATGAAAGTATTTGTAGAAAAGACAGAGAGGCGACGGCGCGTCTGTGATTTTTTGACTGTAGACGAGACGCCAGATCAGGGCCAATTTATGTTATCCTTCATTAGAGGAAGTCCTATTTAAAATATAGGAGCCAGACCAATATGTATCAATACGAACCGTATACCACCGACCAGTACGCCTCGACTTTTTTTTATGTGCCGTGTCCTTCAGGACTTAGGCGATCATAGCTCTCCAATTTCCTCCTATGGAAAAAGAATAAAGCTCTCAATAAGTTTTGTCCATGTTGTCGTCCTTCTCCCAAACCCTGTTCAGTCATCCACTTGCTTAAGCCCGTTAAGTATGTCACGCGTTGCTTTCCCTTGTCTTTCTTTCCCGCTATCTGCCATGTGAGTATCAGATTCTCCAAGCCCACTTTTCTTATTACATGTCCCAGAAATTTCAGCTGCCTCTTCCTCCTTGTTTGCATCATCGTTGTTCACGCGATCAGTCCATGATATCCTTAGCGTCCTTCTGTAGAACCATACCCCCGTTGCGCCGAGTCTCTTCAAAGATTGAAGAGACCATCCAACATTCGCTGCCGTAAAGGAGGACAGATATCCCGTGGCAGTTCAGTACACTTTTCTTTGTTAACAACTGTTGTATAAAAAACCTATGAACACTAATTCCTATGTTATAAAATCCTCATAAATATGTTAGAGAAATTGTTATGTTTGGTGTTTTGCGGGGGGTAAGATTTGTAAAAATTTTCAGAAACCATCTCAAATGATGGAATTTATCCTACTTCACGCCGCTGGCGAGTACTGTATTTTTTTATTTATAATATATATATATATATATATATATATATATATAGAAATATATATATATATATATATATTGATATTTAGTGTTTATTTTGTTTAAGTATGTCCACTGTTTTCGCGGAAAAAACAGCATAGCGTAAATGAAAAATGCCACAAACTTAAAGAAAATAAAGTATTATCGTCAAAATGCTTATGTTATTATTAAGATGAAAGAAAAAAAACTATTTTTTTAATTATTTTTGAAATTTTTTAATATTTTCTAACACGTTCGAAATTTTGGTTAAAGTCGTCTTTGTTTACGTCATCGCGGTGACGTTTAAAATAACAGTTTTTTTTTTTTTTTTTTACCGTTGAAAACATATTGATTTGGAAATTCTTGTAAAAATAAAATAATTGTCCGATTTAATGAAATTTTCAGGATTTATTCACAAATGAATGAAATTATTTTTTAAATATTTTGTTTTTAAAAATTTTGGTAAAAATATATTTTTTTTTAAAATATGTTACCCCCCACTTAGTTAATTTCATGAAATTTCGCCCAAAACCTTTTTATTTCCTCAATTTTTTTTTTTTGTTAAAAGAAGGAGTCTTTGGAGATGGTAAATAACCTACTTTTTTTTTTACAAATTTGAGCTACTTAACTGAAAATCTTGTCTGAATTGAAAAATGAATCCAATAAAACTATGATATTACTTAATTAGAAAAGCTTTTAATTGCTTTTGTAAATAAGTAATATTAAGGACATTATTATCTGAAGAAATAATTTTTTTTCTGATGAATAATTAATTTTACAAGAATTTTTTCATTTTTTTTAAGAAATTTTAATTATAATAATTTATAATAGTTTAACATCGTGTAAAGCTCTGTATTAGCTATTTCCTCAATATTATGTAGTAATTAAGTAGATAAAAAAAATTTACGAATCCAAAATTGCTAAGTTTAATAAATTTAGTTGCGCTATTTTTTTTAAAAATAATTTTTTTGTTGTTTTATTTTTTTACTTAATACATTCCTTATTTCCATGTATGATATACAGAAATTGCCATTATTATAACAAGGTCACGTGATCTAAGGGTTTTGTCCCTTTACGTGGCCTTTTTCAAAATTTTTCGTTTTTACAGGTATTTTCCGTTTAAAAGTAAAAACTTTAAATTTTAAATTATTTTTTTCTTTTTTCATTTACTATTTCACTAAATAATTTTATTTTATGTATTGTATTTGTGTGTGTCATACTCAAATAGAATATTTAAAAAAACTCAGACTTAAAAAATTATGTCATTTATGGTCATCAGTAGTAGCTGTCATCGGCTCGTCAATCAATCATTATCAATAAGATCGAACAGATGAACGGGACCGCTCGTTAATAATTGGTTGATTATATATTTTTTTTATGCTATAAGTAACAAAGATTTATTTTGAAATCAGATTATTTTAACTTTAATTTTTTAATTTTACTAAAATAACGTGTCAGAATTTTTTTTAAATTATTTTAAAAAATTGATAAATTTGTGTTTGTTTACAAATTTCTTAAAATTAAGAAAATGGCCGTTTTTAAGAAAATTTAAAAATTTGAAATTAAATTTGCCAATCAAATGTATATAGTTTTTATCTGAAATACACCAGAATTGTTTTTGTTTAATTAATAGAAATCGTAAATTTAATTATGAAACTTTCAATTAAAGCTAAAATGAAATATTCAAGAATGTTCTTTCGTTGTAAAAAATTCATTTTAAACTTCAATATAAAAAATTTATGCCGAAATAGTGGAGGTACTTAGTTTTGTTTTACAGCATATCAATCTCAATGGGTTTTTTAATGCCAACAAGATTTTTTATTTTTTCATAAATGTACTGCTGGTAATTTTTTTTCTTTTCAAAAATGTATTGCTAGTAATAGTTTTTCAAAAATGTATTCTTAGTAATTTTTTTTTTTCAAAAAATGTATTCTTGGTAATTTTTTTTCAAAATGTATTGCTGGCATTAAAACTCATTTTATTACTTTCATAGGGTTTTGATCCCAATTTGGGGGTTAACAGTTTGTTTATTCATGGGAACCAAACAGTTTCTACTACCCTCGGGAAAAGATGGACATGGGAACACCAGCAATTAAAAGATGGTTCCACGCTCCTCACAAATTCCTGGTCAGAGGCTCTGTTGTTGCATATAGTTTATCGTCTTACCCAGGACGCACGATTTTTCGTACGTCAGTAGATTTCATTCTTTTCCTTATTTCTTTTTTTTTTCTTTCTTTCTTGCAATTCTTGTTGTTCTTTCTTTCTGTCTTTTTGTTTTTCTTGGAATTTATAGTATATCTGTATTTATTTATTTCTTGAAATTTCTGTAAATTTCTTTCTTTTTTTAAAATTTCTTTATATCTTTTTTCATTTTTTCTTGCACTTTTTATTACGTCTTTAAGTTTCCTTCTTTTCTGTCTGCTTTTCCGGTTTTTTTTTTCTTAGTCTCTTTTCTCTAAGCCTTTTGTACATCGATATTTTTAGTTTTTCTTTCTATTTTTACTGTACATAAGTTCTTTCTGTCTTTTTTAAAGTCATTTTTCTTTTTCTATCTTGTAATTTTGGTACTTCCATATTTATTTATTTTCTTCTTTGTCATTGATTTAACCCGTTATTTCTCTTTTTGTGTTTCATCACTGCATTCTCACTTTTATAGATTTCAATTCATTTCTGGCTTTTTAAAGAACTCTTTATTTCTTTCATTCTTTCTTTCGTTATTTCTTTCTTCTTTAAGTTCACTCTTTTCTTTCTCTTCCTGAGGTTTTCGTTTTCAATTCTTTCCTTAAATATATTTCTCTTTCTTTCTTTCTTTCTTTCTTTCTTTCTTTCTTTCTTTCTTTATTTATTTATTTATTTATTTATTTGAGTCAATCAGCTTCCGTGAATTGTTAACTTTTCTCTCTCTTGTTTCTTGTTCTTGTTCTATGCTTCTTTTCTTTCAAACGTTTTCATTCCCTTTCTTTCTTTCTTTCTTTCTTTTTTTCTTTTCTTTTCTTTCTTTATTTATTTTTTTTTTATTTCATTCACTTCTTTCCCATGTACTTTTCTTCTTTCTTTATTTTCTTTTTTTTTTTTTTTTTTTTCTTTCTTTCAGTCAGTCTTTAAAAACGTTTTGTTTACCTTTTTCTCTTTTTTTGTTTCTTTGTTCTTGTTCTATGCTTCTTTTCTTTTCTTTTCCTTCATTTCCCTTTTTTTCTTTTTTTCTTTGCTTTTTCTTCATTTTCCTTTCTTTCTTTTTTCATTTTCCTGTCTTTCTTTTTTTTTTTTTTTTTTCATTTTTCTTTTTTTTCTTTCTTATTTCTTTCTTTCTTTCTTTCTTTCTTTCTTTTCTTTCTTTCTTCCAGTATCAGCTCAGTATGTTTTGTTTATTTTTTTTCTTTTGTTTCTTTGTTCTTGTTCTATGCTACTTTTCTTTTTTTTTCTTTTCCTTCATTTCCTTTCTTTCTTTCTTTATTCTTTCTTTCTTTGCTTTTCCTTCATTTTCCTTCCTTCCTTTCTTTCTCTCTTCCTTTCTTTTTCTTCATTTTTCCTGTCTTTCTTTCTTTTTCTTTCTTTTTCTTTCTTTCTTTTTCTTTATTTTCCTTTCTTTCTTTCTTTCTTTCTTTCTTTCTTTCTTTCTTTCTTTCTTTCTTTCAGTCAGTCAGCTTGCGTGTTTTGTTTACCTTTTCTCTCTTTTGTTTCTTTGTTCTTGTTCTATACTTCATTATTTCTTTCTTTCTTTTCCCTCATTTCCCTTTCTTTCTTTTCCTTTCTGTCTTTCTTTTCCTTCATTTTCATTCCTTCCTTTCTTTCTCTTTTCCTTTCTTTTTCTTCATTTTTCCTGTCTTTCTTTCTTTTTCTTTATTTTCCTTTCTTTCTTTCTTTCTTTCTTTCTTTCTTTCAGTCAGTCACCTTCCGTGTTTTGTTTACCTTTTCTCTCTTTTGTTTCTTTGTTCTTGTTCTATGCTTCTTTCTTTCTTTTCCTTCATTTCCCTTTTTTCTTTCTTTCTTTCTTGCTTTTTCTTCATTTTCCTTTCTTTCTTTTTTCATTTTCCTGTCTTAATTTCTTTTTCTTTATTTTCGTTTCCTTTCTTTCTTTCTTTCTTTCTTTCTTTCTTCCAGTCAGTCAGTCAGCTTCCGCGTTTTGTTTACGTTTTCTCTCTTTTGTTTCTTTGTTCTTGTTCTATGCTACTTTCTTTTCCCTCATGTCCCTTTCTTTCTTTCTTTCTTTTTCTTCATTTCCTTTCTTTCTTTCTTTTCTGTTCTTTCTTTCTTTTCCTTCATTTTCCTTCCTTCCTTTCTTTCTCTCTTCCTTTCTTTTTCTTCATTTTTCTTTCTTTCTTTCTTTCTTTCTTTCTTTTCCTTCAATGTTCCTTTGTTTTTTGGCCCTGTTTTTCTTTATCTCTTTTCTGTTTCATAGTTTCTTTTTAGCCATTCTCAAAAAAGCCTCTTCCTCTCGTTCTCACCTCATTTTTTGTTTCATCTGGAGAGATTACAGAAACCATAAAACCTTAATCTCATTACAAATAGACAAAATGGCTTCTCGTTGAAAAGTTTTACGAACATACAACGAACCATTTAAAACGTTCCTCCAGGAGCTTTTCAATCTATGGTTTCCAAAATCACGTATAAAAGAACATTCTTTTCATAAAGTGCCTTTAATGAAGTTTGCAGACATCAATTTTTCATGGTCACTGAAATGTTGTCCCCGACCCTCGAGGAAAACCCATTGCAATTTTACACTTAATCCCATACGAGTAAATAACTTAGCGTCGTCTGGGATAAGGAGATATTTCCTGGTTCTTCCAATAAACTCCAACAATTTTAGAAGTTGTTTCACGTTGACGTACCCCTCCTGTATTCATTAGCCTAGTGTGGCAAAAGGTTACAAATGTCAAGTACAGGTTAAAGATTTCGCCATTTTATATCATTAACTTGATTAATTTAATTTTTGTATGGATGATTCAGTGTAATATAAAATAAACAGCACCACATATTTGATTTAAAAGAACTAGTCCGAAGTGCAAATTTTCGAGATAACTACTGAGACATTGCTCTACTTATTGAAGTATTTAGTTCATGCCACTTTGACTGATAAACTCCTACACGATCAAAATTCTTGAATTGCCATATTAGTAAAAACGCTCTCATTTAAATTTGCAAAAATTCAACCCTAGCGTTGCGACTGCAGGCTCTACAAAGAAGTATCTGTTATCAATAACACACTTCAACACAACATATTTCGATTAGCATAAAATATTTTCGTCTCGTATTCTACCTGAATTTTACCAAAAAGAAAATCTTTTCCATGCCTGATGATGAGCGGAGAACCCGTCGAAAGTACTTCCATATTTAAGGAAGACCTAATAGAATTTCTAATTTTAAAAAAAAGAAGGACCGTAACATTCATCGAGTGATTAATGGGTTAATGCATCTTTAAAATTCAGTTAGCGAAGTGATTTCGCCATTTTATATCATTAACTTTACTAATTTACTTTTTGCATCAATGAGTCATTATAATATATATATATATATATATATATATATATATATATATATATATATATATATGTGTGTGTGTGTGTGTGTGTGTGTATGAGTGTGAGTGAGTGTGTTTAGAGTACATCAAAAATATTTTACAAGATTTAGGGGGAAAGGTTCGTCGCAGTAAAACAAGGGCAAAAAGTCCATATAAACATATGTCCGCAAATGTTTCCTTTTGAAGTTATTAGGTATAAAGAAAGTTTAGGGTAGATGACACTGTACATTGTTTGGCCGTTGTACGCTTCGGTCTTCTTCAGGTGGAATGAATACAATATGGGAACCAGTAATAAGGAGTGCCAGAGAAAAGCGATAATAACAAAAATTGCAACATGAGCTCTGATAAAAACACGGAATGATAACAGCAAAAATTCCAATATGAGCACTGGCAAAAATGGTTGATGAAGACATTAGTTTTATTATACCGAGAAATTGTTTTTTTATTTAAATTAATATATATATATATATATATATATATATATAAAATCGTAATGCCTGACGATTTCAATAAGCATGAGACAGACTATCACCGTTGGGTGTTGACTTTAATGTCCACGTTATATATATATATATATATATATATATATTAGTAGCAGTATTATTCACTGTTTACAAACTCACACTTTTCCCCGAAAGCCCAACCCAAATAATTTTTCAGGAGCATATATATTGTCATCAATATTGTCAGACTGTGAAAAATGTATCACAGTTCATCAGTATGGCTAGACGTCCAGTTGCCTATGGCTAGGATCGAAACCCGGCTGAATTGGCGTTAGTCGAAGAATCTACCCCTAAGTACACATGGCACAATGGATAAAAGCGTTAGTTAGATCCAGTGACAGGACCCAAAAAGTGTGAGTTCAATACCCGGTTAAAGCAGTGGAGAACTTTCAGATGGAAATTAACAGGAGATAACTGATAACTGACATCCATTAAACATGGCACGTGGAACTAGAACAGTCTATCCCAGTAAGCGAAATAAAGGCTTCAGTTCGACATTAGATTTCTGCTGTTATCATTTCATGTTTTTACCAGAGTTCATATTAAAATTTTTGTTGTTGTTATCGCTTTTCTCTGGTACTCCTTATTACTGGTTGCCATATTGTATTCATTCCACTTGAGGAAGGCTGGAGTATACAACGGCCGAAACTTTGTAGTAAATATGGTGACATAGATTAGGACAATAGTCCGAATAATGTAAATAATGTTCATAATACCTCATCTCAGAAATAGAGACAGATACAGATGGTACTGTGTTCTTTTAGGTTACATTTGTCATTCGTGTAGATTTACAGCTAGTCTGTCTTCAGCATTTAACGTGTGTAGTAGTGAGTTAACTGAGAAGTGTTCCGTTTTCAAATAGCAAAATATTCATATCGTAAACAGGCAGATATGATATTTCCAAACGGCCACGTGAATGGTAATGGAGGCGAAACTGCACGGCTGTATCAGATTGCGTTTTCAGACAGAAAACAGACGAGTAATCCAAACTTTGCTTTTCGTTGCTGAGACAGGATCCGTGGCTTGACCCTGATCTGGCATCTCGTCTGCAGCCACACTTTCACAGACGTGCTGTTGCCTCCCTCTGTCTTTTTTACAAATACTTTCACGGTAACTGCTCCGATGAGCTGCTTTCTCTGGTTCCCAGACTTCATCAATTTAAGCGTTCTACTAGGCTAGCATTTCGCTCACACCCTTTCACTGTCGAAACTGTTAAATGTAACCGTCTCTTCTACTACCAATAGCTTCATGTCTCGCACTTCTCGCCCGTGGAACCCCTTCCCCTCTTCCTGTTTCCCTGATAGCTATAATCTCCAACTATTCAAATGTAACGTCAATCGACGCCTCCAGATGCCCTGATCTATCCCCTAACCTTCTCTTCATCCTTTCCTCTATCACTCCTCTTTGCTCTCGCTCCCAGAAAAAGGAAGGCCGAGATCCGTTCGTACGCCTGATCAAGAAGAATACATTTTATAGGTTATCCAGGTATCATTACACATCAAATGACCCTAGCATATCATACATTTCATAGTACAGCATTCAAGTTACTTCCCCAGCAGTTCCTGTACACGTATCATTTGCAACGCGTGCAGGGGCGTTCGCCTTCTGATCCTTCACCAAGGGAGAACTTTTTCTGACGGGTTATTGCACAAACTACAGATCTGCTGTTTTGTCCCTTCAGTCTCGTTTACGGATGAGGCAACCTTTGGAAGAAATGGAATAACAAATTTGCACAAGCAACATTTTAGGAACGGGATCCCAGTGGTAAAATACGGACTAGACACCAGCATCAGTTTACAATTAATGTGGAATTGTATTTTAAAAGCTTTCAACACGCCATTGCCACTGTTGAACAAGGTGAACAAGATAGTGGGTGTGAAAAGTTTATGTATGTTAATATATATATATATATATATATATATATATATATATATATATATATATATATATAGTTAATTTTGTATTTGGTAGCAATCTCTTTTTTCATGCAAGCAATGTTGGAAAAGGCTGACAAGATGCTGTGGCTGAGGTTTGTATACAATTTCCATGCGTTCCTATATTCTTTTTCTTTTCGGCACATAAACTATATAAAAAATTGTCCTAATGTTTTCCAAGCACTCTCGGCTATACCTTCATCCAGTATGATTGCATACACACACAAACAATATATATATATATATATATATATATATATATATATATATATATATATATATATCACGTCGTATGATGTTAGAGCTACCCAGTTCTTAATATGGGACAACCAGACAACTCGCGCATATTTTTTTATCATTTCACAACAAGCAAGGCAATAAAGCCACTAACATATATATAGATATACTATTAAGGAGAGAGACATGAAAAGAACAAAACTCAAGACCAGGGAAGATGGCGATTAACATTACATTTAAGTTTTTGAAGCTCAAAGTTGCCTGGAAAGCAAGAACCCGGAAGAGAGTTTTTGAAACGAGAAGTGACAGAGAAGAAACTTTTAACATAGAACTAACGGTTACATCAAAGCCATTTCAACTGTAAAATGATAACAACTTGCCGACAATCTAGTACTGTGCTTAATTTTCTAATGTCGAGGTACTATAGAGGTAAGTTCATCAAAACAATTGACAGTATTTGGAAAAAAAATATATGATTTCTTCATATGAGTTTGAAGATTCAATCCCAATTCTGGAAGAGCCGAATACAGATGACTGGTACATATAGTGCACCACAAATTCCCCAAAACAACAATCCTCACGTTTTGAATTCAGAGTTGTCCTTCTCCTCTTCCCTTGAGAGGGGAAACGGTCTAAGAGAAACCACTCTGTCTTGCTATTTATCCAAAGCCGGGAGGAGAAGAATTGGATTTATACCTTTCCCCACTGTATTTCCACGTAAATGAATATAAATAATTCTGCTCTTGAATTCTTCAGTCCGAGCCGCTATCCATTATCCCACTGTTGCGCCACTACATATAGAATGTAAGCAAAATGATCCTTTTTCAAAAACGGTTTTAGATATCAACCCCTAAACTATATGGAATATAATAAAGGGTGCATTGGATAAATTGTCGACTAAAGTACTCAAAAATGAAAACAACACTATTCATGTGTTAGACGAAAGAATGTGAGCACGTGGCTTAAATATTTATTTATTGAGTAAGATTTTGGACCTCCATTAGCTTCTAAAACTGCTTTGATACTATGTGGAATGGAATCAAATAAGTTTTGACTTGTTTCCTGTGAAATTTTATCCTCTTCTTCAATCAAAATCTTGGAAAGTTGCTTCAGCGTCGTAGAGGAATCTGTTCCTCATTCTTTGCTCTAGAATTCCCTATAATGGTTGAATTATGTTGGTATCAGGTGATTGTGCCGGCCATGGATGATGTTTAATTACGTTATGAGGCTCATCAAACCATGACTTCACTTTTCTTTTGCAGTGTATGGGTGCGTCATCATATTGGAATATGGACCTTTCTGGTAAAAATATGTTACCCCATTGTAAGGACATTGTCATTGAGAATGTCAATATATTTATCTTCAGTATTTCTACCATTAAGAATGATGTTAGAACCAGAGAAATACCAGAAAATTGCTGCCCTAATCATTACTAAGTCATATCCAAGTTTGACTGTCGAGACAATGCAGTCTGGATCATAGGATTCACGTGGGGTTCTGCATAGATAAAAACACCCTTTTTTTTTAGGAAATAACGTGAAAGACGCATCAAACCAAATAATGTTTTCCATTCCTCGAGTGTCCAATTTTTGTGATAATCACACCATTTTTTTTCGCAACTTTGCGTTCGACTTTGTGATGAGGTTTAATAATTGCAGCCCTTCAGTGGATACCAGCCTTGTGGAGCTTCTGACGTACAATGCGAAACTATATTGGTTAGATGAGAAGTGGGTTCTGCTGTCACTTTTCCTACTGTAATTTTATGATTTTTTTTCTTCTCATAATTCGTTTTAAAGTTGGTCGGTCTCTTTCGGTCAGCTTTGGTGTCGATCCAATATGATTCTTTGCTGATGTTTGTTTTGCCTTGTTTTCTGTAACCTGTCAGAACCGTAAACACTACAGCTCATGGGACATTCAATAGCATCAATTATTCAGACGTTTTGATTACAGATTCTTCCGCTAATCGAGCACCAACTATTTGTCCTCTTTGAAAGTCCGACAGGTCGGAAATTTTAGTATGTAGCTCTTTTACCTGAAGATTAATACTGACTTAATTAAGTGGTAAAGCAAGGGAAAGGATTAAAGTGTCGAGTTACAACCCCCCTATATATATATATATATATATATATATATATATCATACTTATTATAAAACCCAGGATTTCCTACATTTTTTAACTGATTTCAACAAAACTTCACAGGACTACGTAAAATTACCCTGCGGTGGTTCTGACAGCGCCAAAAATTGGAAAAAACACAATTGTTTTTGCACGAAATCAATTTGAAAACACGATTAAAAGACATCGCCAGAATAAAAGGGGGACAACTCATATCGAGTTATACTTATTATAAACCCAGGTTGTTTGTTTGTGTGTGTGTGTGTGTGTGTGTGTGTGTGTGTGTGTGTGTGTGTTCGTTTATATATGGGATCGGATTTCCTACATTTTTCAACCTATTTCAACAAAACTTGCAGACTTTTTTCTTTATTTTTACATTCAGAATGCTTTAAAAATTCCATTTGCAAAACAATTGTTTAGAATAAAATTCTATTCAATCGGTAGACTCATAACGATTGAAAACAATGTTTTTGTTTCAGTTTGGGTTTGACCAATTCGTAAAAAAACAAAACAAAACAAAAAAAGTAATTAAGACATGCGTGTCCGACAACCTTAAACAACAGTCTTTATGATGGCCGATACGGGCTCTACTGCTAATATATATATATATATATATATATATATATATATATATATATATATATATATATAGAATAGAAAAATAATGTGAACGCCTCGGCTTAAACATTTATGGATTTGTTGGACTTCCATCAATTTCTAAAACTGCTCTGATTCTACATGGAATGGAATCAGATATTTTTTGAATTGCTTGTAATGGAATTTTATTCCATTCTCCAATCAATTGCTTCAGTGACGTCAATCTCTGCTCTAGAACTCGCAACTTGGCGTTCGATCAGAGGTTTAGGAATCGCAGCCCTTCCGTGCATACCATTTTCTGAAGCTCCCAATGCATACCATTTTCTGAAGCTCCCAATGTACTCTGTGTATAGTAACTGTATTGGTTAGGCGAGGAATGAATTCTGCAGTCACTTTTGCTCCAGTAATTTTATGATTTTTTGCCACCATTCGTTTTAAAGGTCGTCGGTCCCTTTCGGTCAACTTTGGTTTCCGTTCACGATTACACTTTGCTGAGGTTTGTTTTGTCTTGTTTTCTGTAAGCTATCATAACCATGGACACTAAAGCTCGTGACATAGTCAATAACTCCGACAATTTTTGTCACAGATACTCTTGCTAATCGAGCATCAACTATTTGTCCTCTGAAAATCCGACATGTCGCGCAATTTAGTATGTAACACTTTTATCCGAAGGTAAATAATGACTTAAAAAAAATAATACAAGTTAAAGGATTAAAGTACCATTTCTGCCGGAATTTTTAAAAAATATTTTTGCAAGCTGTTCACATTATTTTATTTAACAACTGTATTTACCAAAATTAAGCAAAAAATATCTTGAAATACTAAAGAATAAATTTATTCAATAAAATCGCCATTGGCTTCAACCACAGCCTCCAGATAACTTCGGGACCTCCAGCATCTCTTCTGGACGGTCTCCTTGTTTAACTTGGTGAATGCTGCCATAAACCTTGCCTTCGGTTCCTCTTTGGTGTTACAAAGAGTTTTTTCTGGTCTTTTGCTCAGCAGCGCCCCACACATAATAATCAATGGCGTTGCAGTCTGGGGTGTTAGGATAGCCAAATGTAAAGGGTGATGATGTCGCAGAAATTATCTGATAGCCAAGACTGGGTTCTCCTGCTTGTGTGGCAGATTCCTGTTATGAGACATAAGGTCTTCCAGCAGCCATCCTCTTGACTCACTACCTTCTCAAAGCACTTAATGTAGCCTCTGTGTTTAGTCTGGGATCCTGTGGGAGGACAAATGGAGGCATAACGTCACTATCACTAGTAATCACTCCCAATACCATGATGTTGACAGGAGATATCATCCAAAACTTTCCAACTCATTTGCACTGTTCTCATATTGACTCCCAAACACCCCGAAATGTTTGGATTGGAGCTTCCGGTGCGAATGCTAAGAAGTACAGCATGCCGTTTCCAAATATCTGTCTGAGTTGATTGTGTCATGGTGTTCTGATCCTACTATACTTTGCAGTCGAAAAATTCAAAAACGAACAACGCGCATGCGCGAAATTAAAAATATAATATGGCGATAATTTACTCCTTACACCCTGTATTTAAAAAAAACATTAATAGTTTTTTTTTATTATTAAACTAATATGAAACAGTAGTTTCCGATATTTAAATAAATGAAGACCTCCTCTGTAAACAAATAAAAGTATATATTTTTCTTTCTTAAATCAATTCACTCCCTCTCCACAAACACTCACACTCTCTCAGTTTCTTTCTTTCTTTTTTTCTTTCTGTCTGTCTGTCTGTCTCCCCCACCCCTCTCTCTCTCTCTCATAAAGACACGTTCACATATTTACATATTTGTGGCTATAAATACATGAAATTTCAAGTCCAGGAAAATGCTCATAATTTCGAATTTTTCTTTAATTTCGTTATTGACTTTATTATTTTTTTCTGTCTCAATTTCTTTTTCTTTTCCTTCTTGCTCCCTTTCAGTCATTCCTTCTTGTCTTCTATCATTCTATTCTTAATTTCTTTCTTTCCTTTTTCTTTCTTTCCCTTTTCTTTCTTTTCTTTTTTCTCTTATCCCTTCCATTTTCCTCCTTTGCTTTTTCCTTACTTAATAAATTCCGTTACTTCTTTCTTTCATTCTTTCTTAAATTATTTACACCTTTCTTCCTTCCTTTCTTTGTTTTTTTGTTTGTTTCCTTCTTTCATTCTTGTTCATTTCCTTCTCTCTCTCTCTCTCTTGCTTTTAACTGCCTTCCATTCTTTCTTTCTTTCTTTCTTTCTTTCGTTCTTTTTTTTTCGTTCTTTCTCTCTTTCTTTCTTTCGTTCATTCTTTCGTTCATTCTTTCTTGTTCATTTCCATTTATCTGTCCTTTTCTTTTTCCTTCCTTACTACTTTCCATTCTTTCTTCGTTTTTTTCTTTCTTTCTTTCTTTTTTTCTTTCTTTTTTGTTCATTTCCTTCAACTTGTCGCTTCCTTTCTCTTCTCTTTCTTTCTTTCTTTCTTTCTTTCTTTCTTTCTTTCTTTCTTTCTTTCTTGTTCATTTCCTTCTCTCTCCCTCTTCTTTATTCCTTCCTTCCTAACATTCATTGTCCCTCTCCCTTCCTTTTTCCTTTCTTTATTTGTTTTTCTTCTTTTTGTGTTAATTTTCAACGACTTTTTCTGCATTTTGTGACTATAAAGCGGTTTAATCCTCTTATACAGTAAATCGAACACATTCCCTCAGGTCTTTTAAACAGAAGTAGAGATTTATTCCTTGTTTCCTTTTTTGGATTGGGTTTCCGGTTCCTTCTAAAGTCTTCTCAATCTCTTTCATTTGTGAGTACCCCCACCACACACACACACACACTTCGCGTCCTAGTATCATTAAATGACAATAATCTATAAAACTGACAGATTGGACATGGACCAGAGGCGTGCCATCTCATATCAGACATGGACCAGAGGCCTGTCATCTCATCTTGGACATCGACCAGAGGCATGACATCTTATTTTAGACATCGACCAGAGACATGTCATCTCATCTTAGACATTGACCAGAGGCGTGACATCTCATCTTGAACATCGACCAGAGACGTCTCATCTCATCTTGAACATCGACCAGAGGCATCTTATATCATCATGTATATCGACCAGTGCCAAATATTCTGGACCAATAAGGACATGGCTAAATACACCGTTGATACACCAGTTCTTAGGCGATCACTGAAGTTAAGCAACGTTATGCCTGGTCAGTACCTAGTTGGGTGACCGCTTTTGGGATACCAGGTGCTGTAAAGTTGGAAGTTAAAGTGATTGATAATGGACAACGGCTACCAATTGTAAACCGGAGAGCTGAGTTCCAATTCCAGTCGGGTTCTTTATAGTTACTTACGTGCAAATGGGAAATTGTATAAATTCACCTACCTCGCCATAGATATGAATTAGTAAGGCTTGGATCAGTAAATCATTATTATCTCGAAAAAAATTCTTCTAATCTAAAAATATTTTCTGGCTTTAAATAACCTGCAAAAGGTTGATAAACCGTAAAAGACAAATGAATCAATCACTCTAAACCAATAAGCATCTTCTTATTAATAACATATGGTGTATTGCTGCCTTATATGGTCTGGAGCCGCTTCTAATTGTCTCAAGGTCCTTGATAAAATCCAAAGACGAATATGCCATGTAATTGGCTCTGATCTGGCATCTCGTCTGCAGCCGCTCTCTTACAGACATGTCGTTGCCCCCCTCTGTCTTTTTACAAATACTTTCACGGTAACTGCTCTGGTGAGATGCTTTCGCTGGTTCCCAAACTTCATGAATTTAAGCGCTCAACTAGGCTGGCATCTCGCTCTCCCCCTTTCACTGTCGAAACTGTTAAATGTAGACGTATCTTCTACTCCAATAGCTTCATGTCTCGCACTTCTCACCTCTGGAACTCACTCCCCATTTCTTGTTTTCCTGATAGCTATAATCTCTAACTATTTAAATGTAATGTCAATCGACATCTCCAGATGACCTGATCTATCCCCTAACCGTCTCTTCATCCTTTCCTCTATCACTCCTCTTTGCTCTCGCTCCAACTCTCTGTAACCTTTACGTGCTAGTTGTTTCCCGCCTTGCTTGGGGTTGAATTCTTAAAAAAAAAAGAAAAAAGTTTGGTTATTTGATTAAAGACGAACGTATTTCTGCAGTGTTTTTATGGAATAAAGAAGATCCGCCTTTAAAATGAAAGTTCTAATTCTTGATTTCTTAACGGAGATCGAACACCGATCATTCGCGCCGGCCAATGAAACGTTATATAATCTCCGAATCCGACTAGGTCTATCCTTCTAATCGATTTGCAATGATATTTATACTGACCACTCCATGATCAGCCTGAATCTTCGTCTAAGCATTTAAACGCGGGCCGCAGAGGTGAAGCCACCCGCCAACGATTTTGCCCCATTTCCGTAAGATTAATAACGAACAGCGGGCAATTTCCCACGAGTGAATTAATTATTTCAGATCCCACGAGAGGGCGCCGACCCCGGTACGGACTTCGTTCGAATGACCAATTAGCGTGCTCCAGGGCAAAGGACTGCCATATAACGTGATGGGTTTGGCTACAATCAGACAAGCCTATTATCTGATGAGTTGTGAGTACTGCCGGCGTCTGCTGAATCCCCTGAGACTGCCTCCAGTAGGTTTTCTTTAAATATCTGAAAATGTCCTGACAGCTGATTGCATTTACATCGCTAATGACACAATCGATGAATATACAGTATCACACTGTGCCATTAGTCTTTAGGTCTGGTAAAAATATTCCCAAGACTATTTGTCTTGGATTTGTACTTAAAATCTAGTGAGTTTGATCCTCATTAGGTGCCCCAAAATATGGTATTCTACTGTTATCAGTGCTTGCAATTCAATTTTTCTCGCCATACTTAGCATTCGCTTCTTTGTTGAATATTGCTTCTACTAATCGTCTGGCGCTCCAGCGATAGGGCTGTAACAGCGGAATTGTCCGAATCGTGTAACTGCTTAATTGTCCAAAAAGTGTAACAGCAAAAATTGTCCCAATCATGTAAGAGTAAAATGGTACAAATGGTGTAACAGCATAAGTGTCCAATATGTGTAATAGCAAAATTATCCAAATCGTGTAACAGCATAAAAGTCCAAAATGTGTAACAGCAAAATTGTCCAAATCGTGTAACAGCATAAATGTCCATAATTTGTAACAGCAATATTGTCCAAAAAGTGTAAGAGCAAAATTGTCCGAATAGTGTAACAGCAAAATTGTCCGAATAGTGTAACAGCAAAATTGTCCAAATCATGTAACTGCTTTGTAACTCATGTAACTGTCGAAAATGTGTAACAGCATAATTGTCCAAAGTGTGTAACAGTAATATTGTCCGAATCGTCTCGCAGCAAAATTGTCCAAATCGTGTAACAGAATAATTTTCCATCCCACAAAATATTTAATATCTAAAAAAACAATAAACTAATTGAGTCTCTTTTTTCAGATTTTCCGATAAGACGTTCAGCCGTTTTGACACTATTTGCCGTTAGAACGATTGAAAAGCCATTTGAGTTATTCAGCTAGAAAGAGAACAGGTTAAAATCGTTTTGTGTCAGCCTGCCCATTTGAGAAATGTTGGGAGGAAAAAGATAATCTAGGCCTGCAGTAATGGTAGCAATATTCACAGTCTGGCTTCCAACTTCAAAGTCCATTCATGAACCTTCAAGAGAACGCTGAATAAGTTTTAAAAAAGAGGGAACGGTTGATAGGAAAACTGGATCAGGAGCTTACGTGAAGAGAGATCATCATTTCAATGTAGAACTAAAGAGATTCAATTAGAAAAGATCCAACTCAATCCATAAGACGTTTGGTACGTGAGAGGGTCGTTTCAACTATGACAGTCCAAAGAACAGTGAAAAATGAAATCGGACGTGAAACCTGTGAGATAAATTGGTAAACCAGGCCAGAAAGAAAGTTAGAGAGGGCAAAGATCATCTTCAATAATTTGAAATATTATTTATATTTAAACTTTATTTCAATTATTTATATTATTTATATTTAAACTTTATTTCAATTCTTCATGAACTTCCGGTGCTTAACTATGAATAATTAATGAACATGACATTTTCGATTGTGATTAATTTTTCTCACGATTCTTATGTTTAGCCTGGAGAGTATTTCTTATTACTCAGCGTATAGTTCAATACTGTTATAAAAACCTCGGAGAATTCCAGTAAAATATCTTTAATGATTTAAGATTCGACGGTTCAAAGCATAAACTAACAAATGAACAATTTTGTTTACATACGATTTGGGTAGTTTTGCTGTTACTCTTTGAGTTTCTTGACAAAATCCAAGAAGAATCTGCAAGTATTATCCAAACCTAGCAGATCGTTTTTGTCACTTTCTCTCCGCCGTAACGTTGCTTCCTGAAGCATAATATATATATATATATATATATATAGATATATATATATATATATATATATATATGGTGGCATCAGTGTTATTTTGCTTTAGATCAGTGATGTCCCTTATACTTTGTTAGATACAGAATATCTTTAACATAAACCAATAGAAAGAACTCCAGGGCAGTGATATCTGTTGAACATGATAAAACATACAGTTTTGGAGTTATTCACAAGAAAAATTCGAACTCATTCGTCCCCCATTACCAGCTTTGTGTAATTAGATTCACTGCAGATCACTTCCGTCGCGTAATTATAACTTTTTGGCCTATTTACTGTTTTTATTGCTGTTACTTATCTAAATTACTACGCAGTATCGTAAAGCAATGACAACGACCTTTTAACAGCTCTTAACTGATCTTAATCGTCTTCTTTCAACTGTTGTTTGTTTCATAGCAAAGCTGTCTTTTTAAATAAAAAATAATATAAAATAACCCTAACCTAATAAATTAAAATAACAATACCCTAACCCTAACCCCTAACCCCAACCCTAACCCCTAACCCTAAACTTAACCCTAAACGTAACCCTTTGTAAAGAGCACGATTATGTACAAAATAAAATTATAAAAAAAAAAATGCTAGAACGAAATAATATTTTTTATATATATATATATATATATATATATATATATATATATATATATATATATATATATATATATATTAATTTGTCCGTTTTTCGACACAGAAAGAAAGGTCAATGTTAAAAATAAAACAACCCTTGACATTGTTCTGTTATAAATAAAACTACACTTATCAAAAAATATATCGTCCACATGTCATTGCTTTACGATAATGCGCAGTAATTTAGTCTAGTAACAGCAGTAAAAGTAGTAAATAGGCCAAAAAGTTATGATTGCGCAACGGAAGTGATCGGCAGTGAATCTAATCCCACAAAGTTGGTAACCGCGAGTGAGTCCGAATTTTTCTTGTCGATAACTTCAAAACTGTAGGTTTTATTATACTTTCAATTGTTACTTCGAGTTCAGTATGTACATTTACACGGAAATATGAAAGATTTCGTAAATTTTTAATAGATATTTAGCACGGAGATTAAAAAGCAAATTTACTGCCTAAAAAGAACAACTATTGTATTTTCTTTTTCGAGTTTAAAAAAATTGAAAAATTTGAATGTTTCCGTGTGATGTGAGGAGGGTGCGTTGTGGTGCAATGAATAACGTTTCGGAGAGCCGAGTTCGAATTCCAGTGGGGTTCCTTACATTCACTGACGCGCAAATAATCTTATGAAAGGTAAGAATCCACTCCAACCTACTGCAGGATAGATTGGGTTCTTTAGCCTTGGTTGATAACCAGTCTACTGCAGAAAGAAACGGCAGGCTAACACAGGAAAATCTTTAGTCATGAATCGAAAGATACATGATCGCCCAAGCGTGTATCACGTATGGCACATAATTGAAAATGTCAACACTGATTTAGGTGAGGAAGTTGTGGAGAGACATGATCGCCCAAGCATGTATCACGTATGGCACTTAACTGACTGACTACAAAGTTATTGATAAGTGTAAACTATAAGTCTGGATTTGACGGACTAATATCAATAAATACTGCAAATGCTATGAAAATTTACATCTGGTGAGAAACACATAAATTTTCAAAACATCATATTCATAATATTTTCTGATTTAATATTTTTGCAGTATTCGCCATTTTGAGCAAAGCTGCAGCAGCTTCGTAAAACCACTGAACTAAATATTCAACTAAATATATTTATACGACTGGCCGTTCGGAAGAAAAGATGAAATGCTTTCATCCTACAAGAGTATATTTTTTGTAAACACCCACAATATATTATCCTAAATTCATTTTTTCCTTTAGTTTTCCAGAAATAGAAATACAACTTAACATTCCTTCTTTTTATAACCTTCATTTCAGGCTTCCGTACTTTAAAATTATGAACGTTATATTCAAGTTGAGACTAAACGAAGAGGACTCCAGTTTTTCTTTTCATTTTTTTATAACCTCAAAAAAAAATCCGATTTCTTTTATTAGTATGTTTTTAATCTAAAAATCACTGTCTAAAAAAAAGAAATGATTAGTATGATGTGTGTGTGTGTGTGTGTGTGTGTGTGTGTGTAACTAATACACGGCCGCAATTTTTGACGGATTTGGCACCCAAAGAAACAAATGCACATGCGGGAAAAAAAGTTAGCGGGAAGGCGAAAGACCGACTTTGCATTTCTAACTGATCATCGATAGTGGAAATAACGTTTTTTTTCATGCTTCTAGAAAGTTTTCATGTAGTTGGCGACCATTTTCTACTGGCCAGAGTGAGAGCCTATAGCTGGCTGCCACGAATAGGCAGGGAGATTTATTGGCCAGCGTGAAAGCCAACAACTGACTGACACGAATGTTAGCTAGCATGCAAAAAAAGTAGCTGCCTTCGTCACAAGTGGGAAAAATTTAAATTTGCATGGCACTTTACTTCAAAGTTGAATGGGAAAAAGTATTTGTTGTTAACGTTCTTTTTTCATTCGGTTTTTCCAGTTACGAGTCTTTTTTTTTTTTTAAATCTGATCGTTTTGTGTTCATTTTGTTTAGTTCTTTTTTCGTAACAGATTTAATGTTTAGTATAGAGCTTAGAAAAAAAATTCGCAATGTGAGATAGGCAAGACGTAAGGCATACGAGCAAAAATCAGCAATTTAAAGGAAACTCCTTTAAAGGCAAAAGACGGGCAAAATATTTTAAGTCATTTGATAGCGATTGCTGTATGAGTCGAACGATTTTTTGAATCAAGCACGGGCAACACCGGACCATGCTGCTAGTCTTTAAATATAATTTTCAAAAGACAGAAAACGAAAGCGGTATGTTTTCTCGGTTCGATTAATAACAATTAAAGTTTCCACTCGTAATTGATATTCCGAGTTCATTGCACACTCAACTCGGTAGTCAGATTATGACTGAAGCGAAATTGATAAATAATCAATATTCACTATTAATTTACCCTCAGCTGTTAAAGCTCCCCATTAACTTCATGATTTATTTCTTTAAATTGAGCATCTATTATGGGATAGAAGTAGAGTCTCTGGTCATGCATTATTAAATCATCTGAGGAAATCCAAACTTATATACATACGAATGACAGTCACTTTTAAGATCCAGACACTTTTTCAGATCCATCTTCATTTTTAAGTGTCGTGTTTTTTAGGGCATGGACGATCATGGCTCACCACGATTTCCCCTTAAACAATGTTGGTTTTCTAGCTTTCCTTCCCAGTACCAATTTGGCCAGCCATTTATAAAAGCTTGTTGAGTATGTTACTCACTGTTTCCTTGTGTTTCTCTTGCTTTCAGTATGTCCATTGAGTTTTAAATTCGCCAAGCCTTCTTCCCACATTTGTCCCAGAGATTTCAACTGATTCTGAGTATTTGGACAACAAGGTATTTGAACACACAAGAATTCACTGGTTGAATTCAAGGAAAATTCAAGTATTCTTTCTTAATTTTGTCTGGATAAAATAATATCAAACCATCAGTTATCGAAAAATCGGAAGTCTACTTTTATTGGGATGAAAAAAAAACAAAAAAAACACGAAATCCATTGATATGAAGATGAGTTAAAGAAATAAAATAAAATAGTAGCGTTTTAAAGTTTAACAGGAATTTCTGTTCCCCTTGGGGGAAGAAAATTTACGAAAGCTATTAGCTGAATGATTATTTATTGTCGAAGGAAACATGGAGGAAAAAAGAAGGACAATAGAAAAAAATGATAATAGCACAGGAAGTGAAAAACTCAGAAGAGTATGCATTCAAGAATAGGAAGGAAGGAAGGAAGGAAGGAAGGAAGGAAGGAAGGAAACGAGGAAGGAAGAAAGGAAAGGAGGAAGGATGGAAGGGAGGAAGGAAGGAAAAGAAGAAAGGATGAAGGAAGGAGGGAGGTTACGGAAGGAAGGAAGGAAGGAAGGAAGGAAGGAAGGAAGGAAGGAGGATGAAAGAAAAGAGGAAGGAAGGAAGGAAAAAGAAAGGAAGGAAGGAAGGAAGGAAGGAAGGAAGGAAGGAAGGAAAGAAAAGAGGAAGGAAGGAAGGAATTTTTAAGGAAGGAAGGAAGCAAGGAGGAAGGGAGGAAGGAAAGAAAGGAAGGGAGGAAGGAAGGATTAAAGAAAGGAAGGAAGGAAGGAAGGAAGGAAGGAAGGAAGGAAGGAAGGAAGGAAGGAAGGAAGGAGGGAAGGAAGAATGGAAGAAAGGAAAAAGGAAAGGAGGAAGGATGAAAAGGAGGAAGGAAGGAAGAAAGGAAGGAAGGAAAGGAAGGAAAAAAGGATGAAAGGAAGTGGAAGGAAGGAAGGAAGGAAGGAAGGAAGGAAGGAAAAAAGAATGAAGGAAAAAGTGGAAGGAAGGAAGGAAGGAAAGGAAGGAAGGAAGGAAGGAAGAAAGAAGGAAGGAAGGAAGGAAGGAAGAAGAAGGAAGAAGGAAGGAAGGAAGGAAGAAAAGGAAAGAAGGAAGGAAGGAAGGAAGGAAGGAAGGAAGGAAGGAAAAGAGGAAGGAAGGAAGGAAGGAAGGAAAAGAGGTAGAAAGGAAGGGAGGAAAGAAGGATAAGAGGAAGGAAGGAAAGAAAGAAAGACGGAAGGAAGGAAGTAAAGAAGGAGAAATAAAATAACTCGAGAATTCGCAAAAGAATTTGTATGTAGGCAACAAGAGCACAGATGCTGGGTTTGCTAAATCGGCTGATGAAAATGCGCAGATCCCACCTGTGACCATTGTTTAAGCGCAGATAAAAGCCCGGATTAGAATGCTGATTTTCAAGGTAGACAAGCAGGCAGGCTGGCGTTTTTACTGGAAAGATTAACGAAATAAAATCCTCATCCCTCACTTTCTGAGATTTGGCCTAGTTCCATAGTAACGTATGTTAAATAGCAAGTACTATACCTGTAAAAAAAAAAAATTAGCATCTTTTTTTTTAAATAGAAAAAATATTCTTTTTCTGAGGAAGATTTTCCTTATTACATTGTTGGATGCCTAAATCTGTGGACACTACCGAAATAATTTTATCAGGGCAAATGCATTTGGTTGATAAGGTCAAGATAAAAAAGCGTTGACATATTTTTTGTTTTGTCTTTATTCATATTGACCTTTTCTAGATATACACTATCTATATTTATGCACACATATTATATATATATATATATATATATATATATATATATATATATATATATATATATAATTTAAATAAAATTTAGATAAAAAAACCACTTTTTTAATTTTTCCATGTAATAAATTATTTCACCACACTAATGTCTGATGATCCGCAGGTCTTTAAAAGGACTGTGGTGAAATAATTTAGTACATGGAACCTTAAAGTGGTCTGTTTTATTTAAATTATTTGCTCTGAATTTACATTGAGCTCTGGATTTTATCCTCCTTAGGTTTACCCATACGGATTACCTAATTTTTCATAAACTATATATATATATATATATATATATATATATAGTAATTAGTAGGAGGATTGGATAATGATATTTAATTAATTCATCGAGTCTGATAGAAACCTCTACAGAATGCAGGAAGCACTGGACGACCGTAAAAAATGTCCTATATTTGGGACTCATATATATATATATATATATATATATATATATATATATATATATATATATATCAATGTATGTATGTATGTATGTATTTATGTATATATGTATGTATACGAGTCTTATTTTGAAACTATCAGGGAAATATATGAAAAACAGAGCTAACTAGGCAGAGTGTCGCTGCTTGGCACAGAGAAACACTGTCTCGCATGCACACTAAGTTATAATATTCTTTTTCACTTCCGTCGTTTATAGCAGTGCTTGGAAGGAACGTGTGTAGAGTGTGGTCATCTAATCACGCCACAGACGTTCCATCAGTGATCATGGATTGTGCTGCAGTTTTGGACAAGCACAGCATTGCCCAGGTTCGAGAACCGCCATATTCCCCAGATCTCGTTCCTTGCGACTTTTTCCTGTTTTCAAAAATCACACCCGACTTGAAAGAATCAAGATTTCAAGACATCGAGGAAATCCAAGAGAATGCAACGAAGTAGCGGTTCACTCTCCCCAAAAAAGAGGTTCCAAGAATGCATCCATCTATTGAAACGACGTTGTATAAATTATGTGGCTTAAGATGGGGATTATTTCGATGGAGATTATATGACGAATTGATATGTGTTGTAGTGTTCTTTTTATAGCAGCGGTCCAAGTCGTGTAACAGTAAAATTGTCCAATTGTTAGATTAAGCTTTGAACTGTTGTATCTTAGAAATGATTAAATGTATCTTACTGGAATTCTCCGAGGTTATTATGACACTATTGGACTGTACTTTAAGCAAGAAGAATGTATAATTTCTCTCCAATCTTAACAGAAGAATTGTGATGAGAAATTGATCATAAACGAAAATGACATGTTCATCATTAATTAATCATAGCTTAAAAAAAATTATTTCAGGATCATTTTTCAATTTATGCAAGATCATCTCCGCCCTCTCTAAACTTTTAATATTCTGTCATGGTGTAACAGTGTGTCTCACAAGTCTTTTTCACTGCTCTTTGAACTGTCATAGCTGAAACTCCTCTCTGACGTGCCAAACGTCTTATGGATTGAAATGTTAATCCTTCTTCCTGTTGTGACCTCCTGATCCAGTTAAACTCTCTACTGTTCCCTCTTTTTTAAAACTTATTCACCGTTCTTTTGATGAGTCTTGAATGGAATTTGAAGATGGAAACCAGAGGACAGATGTTGGTACCATTTATCTGATTGATCTTTTTCCTTTCACCATTGCTCATTTGGGAAGCCTGGATATAACACAAAACAACTTTAACCTGTCCTTTTCAAGATCATTAACTCAAAGTGTATTTCAGTGATTCTTGCGAAAAATGTTTATCAAGATGGCTAAACGTCTCATCTGAAGACCTGATGAAACGAAACTCAATTAGTTTAGTGACTTTTAGATATTAAACAGGATGAACAATTATGTTGTAACGTGATTTGGATAATTTTTTGTTAAACCCTGTATATATATATATATATATATATATATATATATATATATATATATATATATATATATATATATATATATATATATTGTTGGTGCATAATTATCAGGCATTTTTGTAGGTAAGTTGTTTGTTAATAATTGCTGTTCTGTTCAATTTTAATAAAAATATTATTTTATTTTCAGCTTATAAAAATTCGTGTCAATAATCATAGTCATTTAAAATGTTATAGCTGAATTATTACGTTTCTTTTTTCATAATGAACATTGTTTAAAAAACGCCTGATAATTATGCACCAACTCAATAATAGTAATATTAATAATGAGGATGATACATTTGGAGGAGAGCGGGAATTAATAAAAGAAAAGACATAATGTTTGACAAAGTTCAACAATACTTCGACAGTATGTCTGTTTTCTTCAAGTTATGCTTAAAAAGTGTATGAAAATATATTTAAAAAATCACCAAAAAATTGTTTTTGTATAAACAATTTTAAAATCATTTGGGTTTGTCTCTTTTGACTAAATCAGGTTTTCCCCTCCTACTTGACTCTTTAGTAAGTAAACGTATTGTTTTCTGTTTTCAAAAGTAAATCATTTTCATCAAAAATTACCAAAAATTGCCCGATGACTGGATAAAAAATTTGAAGTCCCAAAACAGAGAAATTTCCATGCCGCAATGTAAAATATATTCAAATAAAAATATTATTAATATATATATATATATATATATATATATATATATGGTGCGAAGGATAAATAGCCTCCTAAGATGCGCTTCTTACTTCTACTACTGCTCACACAACGCACAGAACTCCTACCCCGAGCGGCTCAGTCGCCTTGTATATGGTGAATAATTCAAAAATTAAGTAGGCGCCCGAGGGGGTCGTCAGTGATGTTTTGACTTGGTTCATCAGGGAGTTTCGGGTCATTCAACATCATACTCCCCATCACCAAATCGACCCAATCAGGGGAGATCAACCCCTGATTACCCTCACAATTAAACGCTAACAGCTACTCTGGCCTTTTTAAAGACGAAGACAGACCACATATTCTGCACATCCAATTGGATGTTTGTATCAACCAATCCGATGCGCGAACTATCTTTTAAATGGCTCTTAAGTGAGCACTAGTAATATAGAGGATGCGATGTATAAATTGTCGTATAAATTGTGCAAAAATGAAAATAACACTACCATCTCATTGTAACAGATATATTACACAAAAATGACACAGAAAATATCTTGAAATACTGAAGAGTAAATTTATTCAATAAAATTGTTTATTGACTTCAACGACAGTTTTTAAACGACTTCGGAATCTTCTGCAACTCTTCTGGATGGTTTTGCTGTTTAATTGGTGAAGGCTGCCATAATCCTTGCCTTCAGTTCATCTTTGATTTTACAAGGACTTTTGCTGGTCTCTTTCTCAGCTACGACCCACACTTAATAATCAAGTTGGTTGCAGTCTGGGAAGTTAGGTGGCCAGATGTATGGGGTGATGTGGTCGCAGAAATTCTCTGGCAATTATAGCTGGGTTCTTGTGTGGCATCGTGCAGACACCTGTTTCCAGATATAAGCTCTTCCAGTAGCCATCCTCTTAACCATCAAAGCCCTTGATATATGCCTCCATATTGAGTCTGAGGCCCTGTTGGTAAATGAATGGAGGTCTGACGTCTCCATCACCAGTGATCATTCCATTTAAATTAGCAACCAATTAAATGTCAGATCTACGCTAAGTAGAACTTTAACGTAGATCTGACATTTAATTAAATTGGTTGATCAAGACAAACCCACAATTCTATTTTGTAATTCTGACCTTGTGATTTCTTACTACCCCTTTTATCATTCGGAAAAGAGGTAAAAATTTGCTTTTGAAATTTTCAAAAAATGATTTAGTCGCCTGAAGATATACAACGTAGTGCCGAAACATGAAAGCTATTTTGTAGCGATTTCAACATGATTTCAAATTTCATAGTTTAATAAAGGGCTAAAAAGCTTAACCCAATCATTAAAGGAAAAACCCTTTATGAAGTCGTCAAAAAAACAAATTGTAGTTCAGTGCGACGCATTTATATATGAAACAGCCCGTTGAAAATAAATAAAAGGATAAACAAATAAAATAAACAAAATTATCCAGACACTTAACAACATACGATGGTGCCAAAATCTATCTTTCTCTGTGAATGAACAGACGATACGCGTACAAGAAAGACATAATTCGCTTTGAATTAGACACCCCATTCTACCTCAGCTTGACCTCTCCCTGAAGATGACTGATATGTGGATAAAAAGGGTCGCCCTAGTCGTTTCCATAGTAACGAAGGAACACGCTTAATACGATAGGTAAATTTCAAAATTGGTTGTTCCTGAATTTTCGATTGAGGATGAAACAGGGTTTGTTACTTTAATTCAATTTAATTTTAATAATTATATTGATGGTTTCGGGTCTCGTTTTTGAAACATGAGAACTCTTATGTAGCGAATGAATCATATTTAAAAAAAATAATTATAATCTAAGCTCTACTTCTGTATGGAGCATTGTTTTTTTAAAAATAAAACAAAAAATACTAAAGAACCCTGGATTTTTTTTTACCTAAAGTGTTATTTTCCTATTTTTCTA